TGGCTTAAACTTATGGTGTGTGTGTGTGTGTGTGTGTGTGTGTGTGTGTGTGTGTACAAGTAGAGAGTTATTTTAATGAAAGTGGAAGTACATCCAGCTTGTTAATGAATGTAAATGGTAAGATAACAATTTTGAGTAGATGACTAGACTAGACTAGCAAAAATAAGACCTGTATCAATTTTTAGGCTCTAAAAAAATACATATTTTCCCCGCTTTTCCTCCCCTTCTTCCCATTTATTTAATACTATCTTAAAGATAAAATTGTGTGTGTGTATATATATATATGTGCCTTCAACAAACTATCATATATATTTATATTTTTATATATATCTAGCATGTATATGCTAGATTACTGAAGGCAAGTAAGACCTGACCGGCAAAGGCTTTGGCAAGAGCATGTTATCTGTTGCAAACAAATTCTGTCTCTTCTTCCCCCTGCCATCATCATCATCATCATCATCATCACCACCACCACCAGTCATATCACAGCTGACATGACTGCTTACTATGTACTAAGCTGTGTTCTAAGAGTTATACACTATACTTAATCATGAAATCAATCCCGTAAGGCAGGTACTGTTATCAATATGATTAACAGAATAAGAAACCAAGGCATAGAATATTAAATAACTTACTCAAAGTCATGCAGGTAGTGGTGGATTTGAATTCAGGCAGTTTGGTTTTATAGTTTACACTGTCAACATTACTGTATAGTCTATATTTAATCATAATCACTAAAAATAAAATGAAGAGTGGTATTCCAAACTGCCCACGTATCTTTATTACTACAAATTAAGACTTCAGAAGTTCAGTTGTGAATGTGGCTGTCACTGTAGTTATTATACATAACACATATCACCTGTGTGAACGTTTTAAATCAGCATAATAAAGAAATGTAAAACACATCTGCACAATTGTACTTAGAAATAAAATGTAAATACTGCTGCTACTGCTGGGACCATGTATTTAAGGAATGCTATGTTCTATTTCCTCCAGGACATCCCGGTGGACTCCCTCTCCCTGAGGACTCTGGCAGGTAGAGACGGGGCCCCTGACATCATGCCTCTGGAGCACTCTTGCTTTAGGTACCAGGTGACTACCACTAACATGAGGACAGCAAAGCCTGTTTCCATGGATACCAGGCTCTCTAGGGGCCCTGAGAGACGCTGCCACATGCTCTCCCTCTGGCAGGAACCAGGCCAGGCCGAGCTGGTATGTCCCAGACTGCTACACACTACAAGCAAGATAGCCTTCCTGCTTCAGGGAAAAATTTCCCAAGCATTCTCTTTCATCGCTGCTACAAAATTAAAATATAACTCATTTTATTTCTACATCATATCCAAATTCATGCACTTTCATGTATCGTCTTGGTGGCTTGAATAGGGCCATCCAATCTACGTAAAACTTGCTTTATAAATGTAGAATTTCAGTTTTCAGGACCCTTTCTGTCATCACTATTGAGGAGAATCTCATTTTAGGTACCATACTCCTACATGCGCCTCCTAACTACTCAAAGAACCAATCACATTTAACATGGACCTTGACAGTAAAAGCTTTTAATTTCAGCAATTTTGTTTGTACTTTTCATCAAATATTGTGTTATAGTCTCTTTCTTACTTCATTCCATATCACATCAACATTCAGTAATTGCTTCCTCCTAATTTGATGTTTCCTTTTAGTTTTCTGCTTCTGAATCTGTGTATCAGAGAATAAAGGAAACATCTGAAGATATTTAAACTGCGGTAAAACCCTTTCCATTGGCGTATTTCTTTGCCTCGGTGATCGTATTTGATGCTGTTCCCACAGACATAACTAACATCATCCGCGTCACTGCCTGGGGGCTAACCATCTGTGTACATCGGCTCACTCGGCCCTCACCCTGCCCTGTGAGGCAGACATGCAGCCTGCTTAACAGACACAGCAGCTGAGGACGAAAGGCCTCGCTCCGGGCGGTCCTTGGTCCCCTGCCCCATGCACTGCGGGTACACTGTGCTGATCTCTGACCCTTGCCTATTGCTGCCTAAGCTTCAAACTTTTCTTAAATTTTTTTTAGCAGTCCCCATCTGCAGTGCATGATGTTCACATTCCTTGTGTGGAGTTGGTGTGTGTACATTAACACACAGTTTCTCCTATATGAGAAACCCAGATGATAAATAAACAGCACCTGCTTTTAAACAGCTCACACCAGGCCTCCACTTGTCTCGCTTCTCCTGGTGTCCCGGTCGCCCATGTCCTAAAAGTCAGTGTGAAACACTCGAGGCCGGCACCGAACACACCCTCACTGCTGAGAAGAGAACAAGCTGTGACGGTCTAGGTATGAGTGGCAATCTACAAGCCAAAAACAGCTTGTCTTTAATTGTCTTAAATATTCCATATCGACACTATGATTCCATTCATTCTATTTTATTTGTACTTACAGGGACTTCTGAAAATCTCTATCTGCATTGTTATTCTATCCTAACTAAACGAGTTTAACTGGATTGCTTTCCTCTTCCTCTGCCTTTGGGACCTGGGAAGGAGCCCACCCATACAGGACCAGCGCGCTGGCAGTGGTGACCCCCAGAGGTGAGGAGTGCTGGGCCAGACACGCACAGTGGAGAGGGAAAAACTCATTCTTTTCCTTCTTTTGCTACAGTGTCCTCTCCTCCTCCAACATTCACGTCTTCTGTTAGACCATCGGTTACTGGATTATCACTGACTCTGGCTTACATATGAAAAGATCTGAGCAACTCATGGGTTCCACTGCCACTTAGTTCCAGGGAGACAAATCAGAAAACTGAAGGTTATGAGACCAGAGCTGGGTAACATTCAACAGATTCCACTCGGTGCCTCTTAATAGCATCATTTTGGAAATACACCTCACAAGTATTGAGTATGTTCCTTATGGCTGAGGTTTGGGATTTCATTCCAGTTATTTCAACTTGGAAAAACTGAATTAACAGTTATAAATAATACTTGCCATGACCTAGCAGAAAAGTGAACATAAGTTATATAAACATTTTATTGTGGTTTTTGTTTGTTTGGTGGTACTTGGTATTGAACACAGAACTTTTGCACTGAGCTACATCTCCAGCCTCCCTTTGACCCCTTTAAAAATTTATTTTAATTCTGAGACAGGATCTCGCTGAGCTGCTAAGCTTCCCTGGCTGAGGTTGAACTCAGGATTCTCCCACTCAGCCATCCAGAGTGCTGGGAGTACAGGCATGTACCACATCTGGCTTACATGCTAGTTCCCTTGTCTGTTAATTTTTTGGGGGGAGATGTAACCCATGGTATTAAAATATGTGGCTCAATAGCAAGCTCTGTAATTGGCATTTTAAAATATCAAAATAAGGAAGTCAATAATAGAAACAACTTGCAATGGTACAAAATAGGATTGTGTTGGGCAGCGGAGCCACTGAGCTAAATCCCCAGCCCATGGCCTGTTTAAAGAGTTCTGTCTTAATGACTTGACTGTACTACCTAAGCCCGACAAGAGAACACAGAGTGGTATGTTTTGTTATGCACTGATAGTATTTGTTCAAAACTAAAAGTGGCCTTATGAAGATATCAGATGATTTAGTCTCAAAGTAAAGTATATTTTGCTAACATTATTCATCTCCGCCTTCTAGCTAAAAACCTAATTGAGGAAACTGGAGTTAGCTAAAAGTGAATTCTACGCTCAGCTTACCCTTGAGCAGTATTTCTGAAACTTAGTCTGCATCGGACTTACCTGGCTGGCTGCTGGAGAGACAGGGACACAGGCCACGGTCTAGAGCACCCAGGACTATACTCCGAGACACTCCCTGCAGGTGCCGCTGCTCTGGGACGACACTTTGAAAACCACTGGTTTTGAAAATGCTTAGGAAATCATATTGCTTGGTACAACTGGTACTCTACCACAACTTTGATTATTTTCCCTACCTAAAATGACTGGTATCAAAGCTATAAAACTTTGAGGCTTTAATCACTGAATTGTCCCTACATTGGAGTGGAAGCAAAACTTGTTTTGGAAACTTGGAACAAAAATTCTAGCAAGCGTATAGTGTCAGATGCCCATAACAAGTGCAACTGCTGTTGCTCCTAAGGAACTTGTTATACTGCACGAGCACCAGTCAAGTCTCCCTTTCTGTCTCTGCTGCAGGTTAGGAAGCTCGGGCTGGAATGTATGCCCGAGTGGCAGTAGTCAGAGGCCAGACTGCTCCATTCTGTCTGCAGGCTTCCTGTCTGGAATGACTTTGGTTTTTGCTCCTTTTCAGCAGGAGCATGGGTTGGTCCCTGCGAGGGAACTGAGGTTCTTCCCACATGCTAAGCACAGGCTTGTGGATTGAGCTGCGCTCCCTGAGCCTGGTTTTACCTTGTTTTATCCTGACTTTATTTTCTCTTGATACAATTTTCTCCATTGACATTATTATTGCAAATATAATACACAATGCTCATACATGATGCTCATGATATACAACAGCATTATGAACCTCAACAGGTCTTGAAAATATAAATGAAAAACAAGAGCAGTGAAATAATACTATTTCCCCTCTTGCTGGAATTCATACCCTATCTTATTCCCAAAAGATAGTTCAAAAAGATTCCTACTGAAAACCTTTTGAATTCCTAAAACCACCTCATGAGGAATCTGGCTCAGTAATTCAGTAATAAATCAGATTCAATTAAAATACTGCTAAATGGAAAACAAATTTGTAAGAAAACCACAATAGAAATTCTTCCTAGATATTGTTGAGGGTTATACGTTTTACAAAATTAGAAATTCCTAAAAGACTTGTCGTTCAGTTCATTAATCTTCTATATTAAATAATAATGTGGGGCTTCTTTTCTTTAATAAGCCGAAGTCTACCCCTAAGAGGGGTAATATGAACACAGTTTAAAATTTAGCACTTAATAATATCATGGGGTTATTGCATTATATGTTTTGTCTGACTAATCTGCATTCAGTAGCTAAAAAAAAAATCTAACAGTTTCATATGATTGATTATTTTACAACTTTAAAGAGAAAAATGTCTTGCCTTCGAATGGTAATCTTGTTCCAGTCTGGGATCTGATCCGGCTACCTGTTTGTATTTGTTAATTTTCATTTGGCGGTTTCTCTCCTCTATATCCATAGCACCTATCGAGTAGAAAAAAACCCAGAAAATTAATGTTCAGTCCTTATTTCTGAGTCCTACTTACAGGATGTATAATAGAAGAATGCTAGGCTGTACATTACTTTCACTAAAATATTACATACAGATTAAATGTCATTTTTTAGATTGACATAAAGTGTGCAATTTGGTAAATAAAAGACATAATTACTACTCTGTAAATAATTTTAATCTGAATAAAATTTAAGTGAATTTAAAGAGAAGACAACAAATTTTCCAAACCAGAGAAAACACTTTCTGGTACATCTATGTCCAGGAGAATATATCTGACAGCACACAATTGTGACAATGGTACTATAAGAACTTTGGTTTGTAATTCATTATGATTTGATTTATTTATGTAATAAAGGTGTAAGTCTACCTGGTTTCAAATGCAGTTTTAGAATTGTCACAAGTCAGGCTTTGTGGCACATGCCTATAATCCCAGCGCTCAGGAGGCTGAGGCGGGAGGATTGTGAATTCAAGGCCCGCTTGGACTATACAGAAAGACCCTGTCTCAAAAAAAAGATTATAATAAAATTAGGCCTTGTTTTAAAGTATGCTAATTCAGCATACATATCAGGAACTTTTGAAGCTCAATTTTCTAGAACTAGGGTCAAGAAAGAGGCTCTCAGAACAATATTCCTGATAATGTATCATGCCAGTAAACGCACAAAGCATTTACTGAAATCAATTCAGAAAAATGAAGTTAGACTGTAAGGAGGTGCAAAGGTGAAATGGCAAGCCCATAACAAAACAAGATCAGGGTTTTCTGTAGCTGGTGCTACCTCAAAACAGACCAGTTACTGATATCAGGAGGGTCTCTGTTGGAATAAGAACTAAATCAAGTTAGTCCTAGGAAATATGAAAAAATTATTTCAAAGTATATTTATGATTTTATTAAGCAAGACAAAAGTTCAATCATATGCTATATATTCCTATACTTGGAAAAATAAGCATAGTGGGCTCAAATGGGTATACAAAATAGACTATCACGTCAATTCAAACGTGTTGTGTGCACAGGTAGAAATATACACATTCACATGCACACCCTTGCTTAAGATCATAACTCAAAGCTGAAGTAAATATATCTAGACAAAAGTGTGCCTATTAACTTGTATTTTAATACTTACCTGATTTTAAAAATAGCAAAAAGAAAAAGGGGACTGAAAAGGTACCAGCATAATTAGAAGTTACAGTATTCTCTCCTGAGCCAGGGTTTCAATGTTTAATGTTTTAATTTTTTAAGTATTACTCTCTGCCCTGAAAAAATCTCACTGCATACCAGTTAGCAACAAATTTTAAGTGAAAATTGATAAAATAAGAATAAAAGAGAAGAAAACATTTCAAAAAGGAATAAGAAAATCTTGGATAAAAGTACATATAGAGATATTACATTCTATGACCTCTAAATATGCCAGCACTGTTAAATCAACTATTTAAAAATAGTAAAGTATTAAAATAGTCATATTTTAATAACAATTTGATGAATTGACTACATGTCAAATGCATAGTGTAGAACATTAATATCATGCTAATATAAATTGATCAATATATAAAACCAGGTGTCTCCATGATATAAATGTGAAATACAGTCAAGTATAAGTATTGTTAGTCTATTAAACTACAATTTTGGAATTGTTTGCATCTCAAGAGATAGTCCCAGGTAAAGATATTTATTTTTTCCAAAGGCAAAGGAACAGAAAACTAGCCCAGCAACAAAGTACATGTACTGGAAGAACATTAGCTAAACTCAGTGTTTTAGAAGTTTATCAAAACAAAGTTTCTTGTTGCTACTAGCAACACTGTATGTTAAATATGAAAAGTACCAAGCGACAGGCATGAAAACACACACATATGCACAGACACACACACACGTTCTAATATTCAGACTAGTTGTTGGGTGGCGACCTCTCACAGCAGGTGCACTAGGCACTGTGTGGTCCCTAGGTAGTACGGTGACGCAAAGGCACACGTTCCTGTAAAGGGTTCAGTAGTAAATACTGTAGACTCTGACTTCATACAAGCTGTGACTGGCACAACTCTGCCTGAAGGCAGCTGTGATGCTGCTGCTCATTTCCAAGACAAGCTTCCTGCCTGATGTGGATTTGGCACACTGCTGTAATACTGCCTGCAAAAGAGCCTTTCTCCTCAACGGAGGGTTAAAAGTAGGTAGAATTAGATTGATGCAACATCATATATATTTAACAGGCCACTAGACCTAACAATATTCATCTATATTTACTGTATCAGTAAAGATGCAAAGAGACTGATGTAACCATTTAACTATAACAGTTAAATTCCAGTCTTAATTCTCTCATCTCCATCATCAGTAGGGGGTGGCCAGTGAAATCTCAGTGGAACACTTTTGCCAGCAGATATACTTTTGTTGTTGTTGTTGTTAGTGCTGGGGATGGAACCCAGGACTCGGTACTGAGCTATGTCCCTAGCCTTTTATAAATTTTGGGACCAAGGCTGGGCTCCAACTTGCAACACTCCTGCCTCAGCCTCTCAGTGCTAGGATCACAGGTGTGTGCCACCACACCTGCTAAATACACTCTTTATTTCTAACTTTACATTCTTCCTATCAGGTTAATCCATGGGAGAAACAATAACCAAACAAGCCTCCTTCAACAATTATTTGGCTCATATGAAGTCTTCTATTTCTTTTCTATATCCGCATAACCTATAGTAGTTCCATCAGGAAAACACTTCAGAGAAAATAATGTCCACAGAGAAGAAAGTCTCCCATTGATAAATCCATTTCAGAGAATTCTTCACTAGCAAGTAGAGCTTTCTTTGCTGGTCTTTTTCTCTATATACAGAAAAGAATTCAGAAATAGCATTTTTGGTTTCATCCAACACAGCCTATTTTACTCCTTGGAATAAAATAAAACATAGAGAAACCAATATCAGTAGGTCAAGGAACAGACCATATAATTACTGAGCTCCCTTTGAACTCTGCTGTCCTGGGGTACTCTCTACCAAAGGAGGACGGTAAGTGAAAGTGATGAGCTGGCAGGTTTTGTCTCATTTCCCTCTCTGGCACAGCTAAAAACACATGCATACCCAGGGCCTTGACTCTGCAATGAAGAACAATCATCTGATCACAGAACCCTAATCCCCCAAACTATGATCTATTAATCTCTTGTTGAAACTGTCTTGGAATTTCCAAAATACACTTTGGGAAATTCTGGCTATAAATTTAGAAGGCTAATTCATCTAGGAACCTTTAGGATTCATGTTCTATGTGTGATAAACATTACAGAGGACATTTTAGGGGTTGGATTTGATTTTGTAATTTGAGTATGATGAAAAATTCACAGTCATTATGTATTAGAAATCAAATCAAATCAAATTTCACAGCATTTTCACTCTGTAATGAAATTAATGAAGAGGGTAATGGGACAACCAGATATCATAGACAAACAACATTTATAACAGAAGTTCATACATGTTTGTGTCTATGCAAGTGATAAGCTGTTACTGTATTAAGCTAATATTCAAGTTATCTCAAATTATTTTGATATGAGGTAAATTACTAAGTAAACTAAGAAAATATAATCGCTTGTTTCATAAACCCTTTCATAAGTATCTTGCTTCACGAATTCATTTAAGTTATGCTGGAAATAGCCTGCATTTTTTATGACATGTGTACATTCAAATTCCATCAACTTTAGAATTTCTACTTGATAAATGACAATTTTATCAAAACTTGTCTCACTGGCTTTTCTATAATGCATTTAAATCATGCACCTTAGAAATTTTAAGGGAAGACTATGAAAAGCCAAATGGGAATATTCTGGAATAAAGTAAACATTAAGAGAAGCCGAATGTGAACCTTCTGGATTTCATAAATATTTCAAAATACTTTTTTCTCAAATTGGAGGCTCATGGTCCATTCTCAATCACTTAATTTTAAAAATCCAGTATTTTATTGATCTTGGTATTGTAACAAAATGACATAAAATTTCTCTATTTTTTAAACATGAAATCCTCCTTTCCAGGATCATCTTCCCAAAATAAATTAGTGGGCAAAGACATGCATATGAATATATTTATGGCACAGTTGTTTGATAATTGTGAAAGCCTGAAAAAAACTGTGAACACACAACAATGGTTGATAAATTAACTGTATTACAAATCCATCTGTAGAATACTGTTCATCCACAAAAAATGATAAGGGCAGTGCATGTTTATATAATAAAATCATATACAAATAGATACTGAAATTTGTAATTATACATTACTGTTAAATATGGTACTATAGCTTATAAACTAAAATTTTAAAACTGTATATACATGAATTATTTATTATCATAACCTGTATACAAGACAAAGAGAACAAAAGACTTAAAAATGTAGACATCAGCTATCACTGCATATGGGAAGGAGATGTAAGCATTAAGTGTGTTAGTACATACACTATATACCTTCCACTAGGACTTTTATAAGAAGGCACTGTTTTTTAAAAACACGTGTATGTGAATAAGTACGCATTATCCACGTTGAAAAGTCATAAAGTTTTGCTATGATTTGATAAAAAGTGTTTTGGAAAAAAATGCTTTTAAAAATGTAGATGTACAGTTATTCATTATTTAAGTTATCACACAGACATATATTTATATGATCCATTTAGATATATTGCTTGAAAGCTTTATGTAACAAGAAATATTCCGCTTAAAATGAAAATCTGATTTTTATGAATAATAATATAAAAATGATCAGGTAAGTTTAAACGTTCCATATTAGCATTTTCAAATATGAAATTTAAGAAATTATGCAACAAAATGTTTAAAAGTACTTAAAATCATCCTTTCATAATCACTTGTCTGTAATGAATTTTTAATACTTTTTGCAGAAACTATATATCATATTCTAGAATCTCATAAAAGTATGCTTTTGTTAGATAAATTACTTATAAAAAGTAGATATAATACAAGGAATAACAAAAATGGGACAAGTTAAATTAAGAAGAAGCATGGAA